TCACTAATCCTGACGTACACCAAAGAAAACATGTGTACGTCAGGTGCATACGCAACGCCAAGACCCGACCCCACAAGAAAATAGAACGAACCGGAAATCCAATGCGAATAAACGATACCGATACAGAAACAATAAAAAAAGAACGCTACAACTGAATCCAGCAAATCAACATGAAAACACTACTAAAACAATGATAATCATAGAATCCATAAATCAAACGGGTAACGAGACTCATGCAGCTTAGCGATTCAGAAATCATCCAAGTCACCAAGGGCATACACTAGAGGAATTAATACTTAAAAATCTACAACCCGAGACGTAGTACGTCGAGCGAATAATCAATGACAAGGAAAAACCTCATTGTATATAACCATATGTCTCGAATTGTAATAATTAAATATATGACACCGATCTATGTATGAAAAGAAGTACAACAAGGCCTACATCTCACAAGAATCACTACTTAGCCAAGAATCGAGGGTCATGTAACTAACTATATCTCATCAAACTCATCTCAATCATGAATCAACAACTCTCAATATCCCTGCTCCTCAGAACCCACCCCAGGCCGAAACAAGACCATGGCGGCGAGCCTGGAAAACAATCAATATCTCGATAACACGCACACCTCAGACTAGCCCAGGGCCGAAACAAGACACTGGCGCGAAGCCTGAAAACATCAAATAATCTCGATTAATACCACACCTCAGACCCACCCCAGGCCGAACAAGACCATGCGCGCGAGCCTTGCGAAAATAATCACAATCGACAATATTTCACAACTCCTCGGACCGCCCCGGTGCTACACAATACAAAAGAGGAGAAAGAATACACAGCGGCGAGGCCCGGAATATACATCAACAATCACAACACACTCACATGGACAACAAGACTTCTCATCCAATTCTCGTAATTCCAGGTCAATCTACACACGGCGATTTCTAGATCGTAACTGTTGTCCATACAGTCACATATAGTCATGTACTTCTCAACGAATACTTAACATGGAATAATAAATGCAGTTACGCTAAGTGTCAATGTCATAAGTGTGAACAGGGATCGTGATCACATGCAACGAAAACATACGCAGAGTTAAACTACCATTAACAATACAAGATGGAACTACCAATTAACAAATATTTTGCACACGAAAATCAAAATCTCAGTTATTATATCAGAATAATTTTCTTTAAAATTATCTACTCATTATAAAATCTAAAATAATTTACTTTTTCTCAAACAAATTTTTTTTAATATTATAAATTCTCTAAAATAAATCCATTACTAAAATTAAATTCTCTTTAACTATTATAATTATTCCGAAAATACTATTTATCACATATCGTATTATTATAAACGCAATTATTTCACACCAAACAACCCACGCAGATAATACGTCAAATTAAACTACGTGCAAAATAATTCAATAAATAAATGTAAATATTCAAACCACAAAACAGGAGGCGGGATCTTGGCCTCGGGGTTTCGTCGACGGATCGACGACTGACGGCGAAGGCAGGCGGCGAGCTCGGCTGCGCGTCGGGCGCGAACGGACGAGGTTGGCGTCACTAGTTGTGCGGGAGGAGAGCGCGCAGCGGCTTGAGGTGGGTTCCGGATCTGAGAAGGGCTACGGGGTTGGGGTCTGGCTCGGCTGCATGTTGGCGTGGGGCGACGGGACGCAGGGGGGCCTGCAGTTAATCACCGGCGAGACGACGACGGGCTCAGACGGAGACTGCGGGTTCGGTACGGATCTGGTGGGGCTTGCTGGTCGTGGTAGTGGAGGGAGCTCGATGGGGATGGAAGAGGGGTGGTTCAGGTAGCTTAGGGCGACGAGGGGACGGAGAGGAGGTGCTGGCGGTTGCGGGGAGGAGAGGCGGTTGCGGTTCGTCGAGGTGAAGGGGAGGGCGGCGTCCGGCGGTGGTCGGGGGTTGGCGGCGTCGAGTTGGGAAAGACGAGAGGAGAGAAACAATAGGGGCGGCGGCTGTCGTGAATAGGAAAACGAAAACGAAAACGAAAATAAAAAGTTTATATATATATATATAGAGAGAGAGAGAGGTGTTTGGGTTAGGGTTTTAAAAATTAAAATAATTAATTATGGGTATTTAAAAATTAAACTAATTACATAATAATTATCTATAATTAAAAATGTACATGTTGTACTAATACAACAGTTGATACGAAATAGTTGAAATATACTCATATTGTATAATTAAACAAGAATACTTAATAATAAAAATATTTTTACTTACATTTAAAATCAAATAATTATGGGATAATTATCTATACAGTAAAACGTACAAGTTATACTAATACGACAAATAATATGTAACAATAGAAATAATACAATAAATTATACCAAAAACACGTAATTAATAATACTATGTATTATGTGAAATAATTCATAATAATATTAATAGTACAATATATTATTTAAAATAATATGTATTAGTGCCGATAACATAACAAATAAATTCCAAAACTTTTTACCGTACAAAATTAAATTTTAAAAAATATTAAAATCATTTAAATAAATATATAATCAGATTTTTAAATCATAGAGAATTATAAAAAATCAAGAAAAATACAAATACTCTTTTTAAAAATAATAATTAAATATTTTAAAATACCAAAAAAATTATTTTAACTAGTATCAAAATTCACGGTCCTTACAGAACGTGTGGGGGTCTACCACGTGATTGAAGCCAAAAAGAAGGAAACGCGGAAACATAAGTGGGACGTGGCCAACCCACGTGAAGTGAGCGTGCTGTGATGCAAACCGTGTGAAGAAAACAAAAGGCCCACCCGACTTTATCTCATAGCTATATATAGCTACTAACCTAGGTTTTCGTTACAGCAAGTTGGGGTTTCTTTTGCGGCTGCAAATTTTGGGAAAAGCAAGGAGCAAAGGCTGTACAATTGCGGCTACGGTGTGGGCAGAAGCAAACGCAAAGAAGAAGAAAAATCGGCTGTTTTTCTTCCGTGGCTGCGGCTTTATGCAATGATTTGATTTTATTTGGCAGTAGTGATTGTGTGCAGTCTTCTTGTGCTTTTGTAGAGAGAATATTTGTAAGAGGGATTTGAGAGTTTGTTTGTGAGGGTTTAGATTGTGAGATTGTAAACCTAGTTGTATCTCTCCCTCTATTAGTAGATCTCCCCCTCCTTGCCCCGTGGACGTAGGCAGTTTGCCGAACCACGTAAAAGTTGTGTTCTTGCTGTGATTTGTAATAGCTTGTAGGATCCCTCGACAGGTCAGTCCTAGAACTGATGAGAGGAAGAGCCGATATCTCACTTGGTTGAGATATCCGCTTCAGATTCTTGTTTCCTTGGTGAGACGGGAATTCTTATCGATCTAATCTCTCTTGTTGTGCTGCCGAAGTGCTGCCGAAATTTCCGCTGCGCACAACATAGGTGACAATATAGTGAGAAGAACATATGTTGATGAAGACATGACTTCGACCAGAATAGTCATAGGATATCCGGGGGAGAAAAGATAATTTCAAAACAATAGGGTGTCATTCTTTTATGTACGTTCTAGCAGGAGCACCTGCGTAGATTTATCCTTTTTCAAGTCCGCTTTATGAATCATGATTGGGATTTGGGATTTGAATTAGGATTGCTCGGATACCATCTTAAAGTATTTGTTAACATACCAAAACTTTGAAGTTGTGATGAGTTGAGGATTATATTTTATCTTCTCACAGATGTTCTACTAATTAACTGATCTCAAGATGAACTTATTATGTGAAAGTATGACTTTGAAAATGAAGAACTAAAAATTAAATTTGCTACAAATTTGACTCACCTACCCCCTTCACTATTCCACCAACCCCAAAAAAATACTATTCCACCAACCCTTGAAGGCTATAAATAGAGGGGAATTTAAGTGCATCGAGACAGTGAGAGTTTTAGAGAAGAGAGAGATAGAAAGATGTAATTTCTTTCTTTGTGTGATTCTCTAGTGAGATTAGAGAGTGATCTCTCTTTGTAATCTTCTCTTTTATGATTAGTGAAGTTCTTTGATGTTCTCGCCCGTGGACGTAGGTCATACTGACCGAACCATGTTAAATCCTTGTGTGCTGTTCTCTTTGTCTTCACTGTGTTTATTCAATGTTGTTATTCTCCACTCTTGTATAGACATCTTCTGTGTCTGTGAAGCCCCCCGCTGCAACATATTACCTATTTTGTGATTCTCTTATCTCTTTCATTTAGTGGGCAAGTAATTATGAAAATACAAAAATACATGTTATTTTGAACTGTTTCTTAAGAAATCTCATTGTGAAGTGCCTGATTCACTGTAGACTCTTGAAATCATAATCCAAATCTTCTGTCCGGCTTTATGGTGCATTCTCAATCAAGATCACCATCCAAGAGAAAAGAAGAGCAATAATAACTAATTTGATTCTGTACGCTCCTTTGATGTATTTAATACTATATTTAGTAATATGTGTGTGTGTCATTTCTCAAAAAAATAATAAACCTAAAATTATGAAAAATACACATCACATGACCATTTTATGTTTTTATTTTATCTTGTTTAAGATTTCTATTGGTGGAAATATACTCCTTACGTACGTAGCACATCATTTTGTAGTTCCTGGAGGAATATTCTCCAACGGCACTTTTAACTGGGGGTTTAAAAATATGATATCCCTCGAAGCATTCAAGCGTGATTATTCTGGATACCTTTTGAACGACAACTGCAATTTTGAAGTCGAGTTCTTAAAATTCCATGCTCGCAATGTAGATTGCAACCGCATGTATGAATGCTTGTCCGTGCAGAAAAAACCTACGTCTGGCTCATATACATTGAAGATTGACAGACTTTCAAACCGACATGAGCCAGGAATTTGCTCTGACATTTTTGACATAGGTGGTTACACATGGTATGTATTCCTAATTTATATATGTCTTGTATACATAAGCCTAAATCATGGCAGTTAATTATTTTTCCAGATCGAGCTCGCGTACTTAATTAAAGAGTCTTTCATAGTGGATTAATTAAGCTTCTTTAAACCTAATGATTTTATTGCATTCTCATTGCTGATGCATCCTATATTAGGAAACTGGATGTTTACCATGATGGAGCAAAGACGAAGAAATGTCTTGATGTATATTTGAAATTGGCCAAGACTTCCAAGTTGTCAGTCAAATTAGAGGTATACGCCAACGTCAGCTTGTGCCTTCAAGACAAAGTCGAACTTAGTCAAGTGAAGTTTACAGCTGGTATTTTGAGCTACCCATCTTCTCTCTTTCTTTCTTTTTGTTCGTTTCTGATTTCTCTCCCATAAAATATTCAGATTGGGAATGCATATATATAGGAAGATGCTCATCATTTGTAATTTGGTAGAATGATAAACTGACATCTGGTTTCTTAATTTGTTTCTGCAGACAAGAAAAGGTTCGGTTATGAGGATCCTTGGCGTTGGGAGTTCCCTCTTGTTAAGTTCGAAGACCCATCAAAGGGGTTCCTTCTGAAAAATGCTTGCGTCATTGAAGTATCAATCGTCGTTCTTGGATCAAGCACCCTGCATTGAGAAATTATTACATCTAATTAATATTCTATTTACTATTGATTATATTATCATTGTTTGGATTACTATAGTAATGGGAACTTTTTTCTTGATTTTTATAGCAGTGGAAACTTATCATCAATTATACAAATTTGAACATTAGATATTATGATTATGCTATTTTTTTTTCTTTATATTTGCCTTTGGTATGTTGTGATCAAAAGGATGATACAGGTTGAAAGTGTCTTTCATGAATATGCAGTTTAGTGAGAAGTCGTTTTCTACGGTTAGATCGAGCAGGAGTATTATTTAATAGGCTACTGTTGTTGATTTTTTTTCCTTTTCCTTCTCCGATCTGTGTAGATATATATCCTCGTGGGTATATTGTGTTCCTCAGTTGTAATTTTCGGTGGTCTTTATTAATTTGTATTAATTATAATTATAAATCATTTATTAATTTAAGTTGTAGTCCTTATTTGCTTGAAATTTCTTAGTTCACGCGTCCGTGCATACGAGCTACCTGAGGAAACTATAGGATAAACTGAAAAGCTGATTTGCAACTGACACACGGCAATAAATGATGAATTTTGATCCCCCCCCCCTCCCCCCCTTTGAAGTTCTGCGCCACCTCTTCTTTGTATGGATTAGAAGTGAGGATGGCTTTACAGAATTTAAATTGTATAGTTACTGTTGCAGCAGGGGGTTTCACAGACACTAAAGATGTCTATACAAGAGTGGATAACAACACTGAATAAACACAATGAAGACAAATAGAACAACACACAAGGATTTAACGTGGTTTGGTCAGTATGACCTACGTTCATGGGCGAGAACAACATAGAACTTCACTAATCACAAAAGAGAAGATTACATAGAGGAGATCACTCTCTAACCAAAAAATTGTTGGATAATAATGCCCCAAATATATAGTTTTGATGATAACAATTTACGTATTATGCACTAACATATCTATGCAGCTATTTACATCATATGCGATCTAGATATGAGAATAAAGTGCAGAATGAGTTCAAGGCAACATGGAGCAAAGAAGAAGAAATGAAATATGTCAATATATATATATATATATATATATATATGTGTGTGTGTGTGTGTGTGTGTGTGTGTGTGTGTACACACATATATATATACACACACACACACTTTTTTTGGGTGGAAATATACTCATTCCATAGTGCATTTTGATGTAGCCAAAGGCCTATTCACGAATAATGGTATTAACTGGGGATTTGATGGTATCATATCCCTTGAAATTTTCAAGAATTCAGCTTTTGGATCCCTTGTGAATGACAACTGCAATTTCGATGTCAAGTTTTTAAAATTCCATGCTCTCACATGCAGTAGCTTGCAATGGCATGTTTGAACGCTTGTCTGTACAAAAAGAACCTGCCTCTGACTCATACACATTGAAGGTTCGGAGACTTTCAGAGTTTGCATGGGCCAAAAAATTTCCTGCGACAATTTTGACGCTTGTGGACACGCATGGTATGCATGCCTAAATCATGTTAATTATTCAGAAACTAGTGCACTTAGAATCTTTCGTAGTGGATTAGGCTTCTTTCAACTTATTCTTGCTATCATGCATTCATCTGTGATTTTATTGCGTTCTCGCTTATGTATTGTATGTTAGGAATCTGGAAGTTTATCATGATGATACAAATTGAAGAACAAACGTCTTGATGTATGTCTGAAACTGGTCAAGGCATCCAAGTTGCCAAGCAAATCAGAGTTATATGCAGATGTCAGCCTTTGCCTGCAGGACCAAGTTAAATTTGGTCAGGTGAAATGTGCTGGCACTGCTCTTCATCTTTTCATCATTGGTGTTGTCTATTTTCTGTCTTCATTTTCCTCCCTCTTTGATTCATTGAGCGTCGTTTTATTAACGATATGACCAGTTTATCCCTTAAAATTAAGTTGCGTTGTTATTTTTGCAGACAAGAAGGTTCAGTTATGAAACCTCTCACCACTGGGAGTTTCCTCTTGTTGATACTAGTCAAGGCCAATCTGAGGAGTTAATTCCTTCTGAAAATTGCCTGCACCATTGAAGTATCGATCAATTGTCATTCTTGGATCATCCAACAAGCGATGAGAAATTGTTGGATTCAATCTATTTAGTTTGTTTCGTTCTTCCTACTGTATCCCACATTAGGAATCTGGAAATTTATCATGATGGTGCAGAGAAGATCGAAGTGCATTGCTGTATATTTAAAATCAGTCTCAGAGTTCCAAGTTTCGAACCAAGTAGAGTTATACGCTGACGTCAGCATGCGACTTCAAGACAAAGTCAGTCTCAGCCAAGTGAAGTTCACTGGTACATTGAGCTACTGATTGTAATCGGTACAATAATCATCTGAATTGAATTTATTTTATCTTATTTTATTTTATTCTGACAAATTAAGTTTCAGTTATGAAGACCCCTCAAAGGAGTTCTTGAACCTGCATTTTGGATCATCCGCATGTCATTAGATTACTGTAATAGAGGAAACTTATCATCAATTATGCAGATTATCAGATATCAAGATTATTATTACTATTATTATTTTTTTAATATGCAGGTTAGTGAGATGTTCTTTTCTACTTTAGATCAAGCATGAACATTATTCAAATGGTTTACAGCGTCCAAGAGCCAGCTAGCTTTGTTTGGGCAATGGGAAAGTGGTTTACTTCGTCATCATTAATTTGTTCACTATGAACTAGTGTTGTAGACTTTTTTTTTTCTCGGCTTTATGTACATAGCCTCTTGGGTATTTGTGTTCCTTAGTTGTGAATTTTTTTTGGTCTTTATTAATTTGTGTTAATTATTTTTATCTTTTATTAATTTAAAAATGTGTTCCTTATTTGCGTAGAAATTTCCTATTCATGCGCCCGTGAATATAACCACACACTCAGGTAAACCATAAAGATGATATGCAATTGAGACATGACAAATGATTGATGAATTTGAATTTTTTTTTTTTTGGAATTTGAAATTTTGATGCCTTTATTCTATGGATGAGGAGTGAGGATGGTTACTATAGTTGCTACTGAGCGCTCCAGATCCAACTCATTTCTATTGCTTCACTATACTCTCGGACCTACTGTATGTAGTTAATAATGTTGTGCCAAAAGCTGTGTCGAGGAACCAAACCAAACGCCGATCCAAGAGGGCCAAAACCAACCAAACTATCAATGCACAAACAAAACACCAATTTTAACGTGGTTCGGCAAATTGCCTACGTCCACGGGGCAAGAAAGGGGATGTGGTTTTCACTAATAGAGAAAGAGCACAAACTGAGATTACAACTCACTCGAAGGAACAAACTAATCTCACCAACAAACTCTTAATCTCTCCAAACAATGACCAAACTTAACACCTGAAACAACTTTGGTCAACATATCTGTAGGGTTGTCCTTCGTGTGGATCTTCTCCAACATGACGTCTCTTTCATCCAAAACGTCACAAACAAAATGGAATCTGACATCGATGTGCTTCGTGCGCGCATGATAAACCTGGTTCTTCGCCAAATAGATAGCTGACATGCTATCACAATATACCCGACGGGTCTCCTGTGCAATCCCCAAGTTCTCCAATAATCCCTGCAACCACAAAGCCTCCTGCACAGCTTCAGTCAACGCCATATACTCTTGCCGTGATTTGTAATAGCTTGTAGGATCCCTCGACAAGTCAGTCCTAGAACTGATGAGAGGAAGAGCCGATATCTCACTTTGTTGAGATATTCGCTTCACATTCTCGTTTCCTTGGTGAGACGAGAATTCTTATTACGATCTAATCTCTTGTTGTGCACCTTGCACACCGGAGGTGCTGCCGAAATTTCCGCTGCGCACAACAAATAAAATAACAGAGCAATAAATGTTACCTTATGATAGCTATTTAGGATTTCTATTGAGAATATTCCATATAGAATATGATAGATACTTTTTTAGAGGGAAAAAAATCTGCGAAAAAAGGGAAATTTCTATTGCAAGTAGTGTTATTGCACAAATTGTTACTTTCATTCTAAAGTAACCCGTTTTTATTGAGATTGCTAATTAATCAAAAAGCCTTTTAATTCTTTTATTAGATCATTATCTCTCTTTAACATTTAATTTCATGCTAAAATGATATGTTTTAAATCACAATTATTATACCTATATAACAAATAAAAAATTTTAAAATTTAAATTTATTTTATTATCCTTCTCAACAATCATTTCTTTAAAGAACATAGAAATGAAGTTATTGTTGAATTTTTTTTATCAATAAAAATTCTAGTTTAATTTGTTTAATGTGACAATTATTTGTAAATTTTATAATAAGCTTAATGTTGGTTTTTTTTAAAATCTCAGAGATTAAACCTTCTTAACCGTTTTGTATTTTCCAAACACGAAAAAGTTAACCTCATCTTAAAATGTATAACCCAAAAATCTTTTTTAATTCCTCGTGTAAGTTCACTAAATTAACTCTTCGCCTCAATTTTGCTCTATTCTCTCTTAACATCTTGCCAAGCTACTACTTTATAGTACTTTCACCAACTTTGAGGTTTTTTACACATAATCCATGTACTTCTTTTATTCCACTAAATCCCTTGATAATTTTCACTTTTTTTGCGAAGCATCCTGGCTTAGCTTAGCACCAATCAAGTAAATCACGGAGCGTGGGATCTCCTTTTCAAGGTCCAAATTCAGGTGAATTGTACAAGTAATTTAATGTCTATTAATTAGAAATTAAGGATAGATATGTCATAAATACGGATCGATTATTAACCATTAAACCATACCCAAGCCCCAACCACTAGGCCACTTGCAGGGAGAGAGGGTGATGGTTTTTCACTTTGATCGTCAAACCAACACCGTCAGATTTATCATGTCACGTGTCAAGCTCATGACAAATAAGACCCGATGTTACTTTATTGCATGTTTCAATGGGTTAAGGGAAGTTGAGGGAAATTAGGAGAGAGAAAGGAACTTCTCTTCCCATTGGTTATACCTCAATTTCGGGGGTGACAAATTTTATGTCATTAGGGGGTGAATCAAGAAAAAATAGGGTGAATAACTTTACCTCTTAAATGTTCCCAAATAAGATGAATGATTCTTCTGACTTCACTTCCTTTATTCCCCTCAATCCAGACAAGCCATTAGGAGATAAAAGTGAAAAATCTTCAAGGGGTTTATGTTTAGGGTTGGAATTACGTGCAAAACCCCTCGAAGTTCAGAGGGTCTATTGTCAAATTCACCCAAAAAAGACTAGCATCCGCGTGCTTTCAGCCAACTCCAGGGACGAGGATAAACAACCCCCAACCTTCAAAGAATCAGACCCCAAGAAAAAAAAAATTTCTGCTATGATAACTACTTGCTTCTACTCTCTAACATCAATCCCCTCTCCTTCTCATCTTTCACTCAAGCCAAAACCCATCTCCAACCAAAATCAAAGCCACTTCCTCTCTCAAATCAAGCTCCCATGGTCGCCCAAACCCCAAAGAATCGGAGTCCTCAAAGAGTCAGAGGAGGTCGAGGCGAGCAAACTCAACGATGCCGATGAAACGAATGACGGAGAAATCAGAATTAATGGGTGCGAATCGGAGAGGACGGAGGAGGATACTGGTTCATTTCCTAGGGTTTCTACGAGGAACAAGAAGAGGGATGAGGAAATCGATGAAGGGTCCGAGAGCAGGTTCAAGCTTCGAAACGGGAGAGAGGTGCGTGTCTAAATTATTTTCGTGAACTGGGGCTTTATTCTCGCTAAAAAGGAAACATTTTGAACATTTGGACATGTATTCTGCCATTATAATACTTTATTGGAATAGTTTATTTGAATCTGGGTCACATGTCTGAGCATATTAGATAGCTAAATTTTCGTGTTCATGCTCATTCCAAATTGGCGCAACAGTAAGGTTGCTGCACTGTGACATGGATGTTATGGGCTCGAATCTCAGAAACAGCCTCTCTGCATGCGGAGATAAGGCTGCCGTCCCCCACATTGTCTACTAAAATAAATTCAACCGAGTCGGTGAAGAAGTATTTGTGTATTGTCAGAATGCATAATTTTTTGGTGTTGAGTATTCATTGTACCAGATCTGCTTTCGATCAAAATATCATCTCAAGGGGTGCAAAACAATAAGACTCAAGGCTTGACTTTTTCCTCTCACTTGGTACAACCCGTAATAGAGGCTTAAATGTGACTTTAAAACTTGTGAGCCTGTTGATTACGACATAAATTTGTGCACACTTTACAATCTACACTGTACCTATGTATTCACTTTGTAATTAGTATCAGCTGTTGAGCTATGTAAACCTGAATAAATATTATTTCCGCTTTATAGGTATTTGAAGAAAAAGGATACCTTGTCGGAGTTGAATGTAAAGGTAGTGACAATGACTCCTTTAGTATTGAAGATTCACTTAAGGAACTTGCACAATTAGCTGACACTGCTGGACTTCAAGTTGTTGGTTCTACATATCAGAAGTAAGTTGTTTCCTCTTTCATGAAGTTTCAGTTCATGGTCATGTACTCCTTGAGCTTCACACATAAGCATGCATGCATGCATGCATTCTTTCACAATGACACTCTTCATAGAGAAAAAAGAAAAACAAAATCTAGGTCACTGTGGAGGGAACAATCTCATGAATAGCAACAAACTGGTTCTGTCAATCTTATTTCAAGGCAGTGTCGAGAAACTCAAATCAAAGGGAAAATCTTATATATTTCTTAAATTCACTTAAGGAACTTGCACAATTAACTGACGCTGCTGGACTTCAAGTTGTTGGTTCTACATATCAGAAGTAAGCTTTTTTCCTTATCATGAAGTTTCAGTTCATGGTCATGTACTCATTGAGCTTCACACATAAGCATGCATGCATGCATACACAATGACACTCTTCATAGAGAAAAAAGAAAAACAAAATCTAAGTCACTGTGGAGGGAACAATCTCATGAATAGCAACAAACTGGTTCTGTCAATCGTATTTCAAGGCAGTGTCGAGAAACTCAAATCAAAGGGAAAATCTTATATATTTCTTAAATATGCATTTGAGTATAGACACATGTACTATTCAAATTATGCAAAGAAGAAGGATATACAATGAGAAAAACATTGATAGTAGTATCATGACAAAAAAAATTATGTTCTACTCAGTGTTACTAGATTTTTAATTTTAAGGAGGATTGAATATGACCAACCCTTGTCATTAGCAAAATATAACAGATAAGTAAAATTGCAAGACACTAGTAGCTGGAACTTCTGTGCAAATTCTCTAAAAGTTACAGAACATTGTAACAATAAAGGCTAGACAATCTATTAGACTATAAATCCAAGAATACCAAGTGATATTCAGATCTATTAACATAGATAGGTCCTGAATGTGAAAAGAAATGAAAGATACCTCTTTTTCTAACCTGGGGTCTGGTAGTCAGGCCTGCGTCCTTGCCTTCACCATCAACAACGTCAATACTGGTGCAAGGTCTATCGTGAAATGAAACTAAATGAATATATGTGATGTACAAGAATGTGAAAGTAAAAGTTATTTTTGAACAATAAGTTCTAGAAAAACACTTTGAGAAACAATGATGAACAAAAATGAAGAAATTTTAGAGAATTTTTTTTGCCTATTTTTATCAGTGAAAAAGATGTAAAGAGGGAGAGTTTTTGGTAGGTTGGAACTTATTGTAGCATTGGGTCTTATCAAGAGGGAGCGAGGTCAGAAGCATAGAGACATGATTAAGTTAGTTGAGTGAAGGTTAACAAATGTGATTATTTAGTGTCATATTGATATATAAATACAAATCAAGATTAGTCACAAGTAAGGACATTAGTTACAAATCTGATAGTGCGAGGGAGGGCGGGAGGGTTGAACACACATGAAAAATAGTTAAAGCCAACGAATAAAATTAGTTACTACGGTGAAAAATACACTCATATTGAACTTAATCATAAATAAGTAAATTAGTATTAGATATTGGAGGGGGAGAATACTTTCTGTATTGACATCATTCATGTAAAAAATTGGAACAATCTGTCATTCTGATATAAGTTATCGATATTTTAAATGCAAAGGTACTTATATACTAAAATTACCTATTGTTTTATTAGCCTGATATAAAAATGTAGGCTTTAGAAAATTTTATATACCAAATTTATTCCTATGGGCTATAAGTATAAGGAAACAGGGGCAAATTTCTTCTTATTGTTTTTCAAGAGTATTTATAAACTAAAGTGGTAGAGATGTCTATGATGCTTGGACCTTAAGGAGTTTCTTTTCAGCAATGAAAACAAATAAAAACATTCATGTACATATCCACTCTTTGGTCAAAGACTATTGTTGTTATGGTTGTATGAGAACAAAGGAAGGCATTGCAGAGTAGAATGGTATAAATTGCTTCAAGTGAAGAGTTGGGACAATGATGCCTAGGATCACTTTATCTTGATCGCCAAAAATCTGCATTAATTCATATGATGTCTTGAGTTACTTTTTACTCAATAATTATTAAATTGCTTGGTGCATTAACTTTTCATTTCACAATTTGTTGTGGGACTGTTTTTTTTTTGGAGATCTCGAATTCACTATAAATATTTGGTCTCAAATTGTTGGAGACTTTGTAATGGTGTACCTAAATGCATTTGATCTCTCTAAAATTATTGACATATTTCCACCTTCACTTGTTTCTAATATAGGATGTTTAAAAATTTTGCCTATATTATCTGCTTGAAAATATTATACTCTTAAGAATGCTCAAGAAATTATTTACTTTAATAGAGAGCTGGCAATTCTAGTGCAGGGTGTTTAAGATGGTTTCTTACATAATTTGCTGGAAAATTTTACTCTTTAAGAATGCCCGAGAAGTCAGTCCTGTAATCTTCTTTTTCTTAGACATTTCATGTCCTATAATGCACATTGCTCTAATATCTAATCATAGTGTTATTTTTTTCTACTCTTGTTTTGTCAATGTTTGCTTGTAGTTAAGGTAACATATAATTGAAACTTTTTTTTATTTGATTAGGCTTGCAACTCCAAACCCTAGGACATATATTGGATCTGGAAAAGTTGCTGAAATTAAGAGTGCAGTACATGCCCTTGATGTTGAAACTGTAATATTTGATGATGAATTGTCAGCAGGGTAAGTTTTTAACATAGTTGCTACTTTTTTTATTGGTTTATATAATTGCATTTTTTTACGAGTAATGTTATCAATCTCTAAAAAACATACTATGAGTTTCGTTTTTGAGTTTCTTATCTTATGTTCTCTAATTTTTCATATCGTTTATATTCAAAATTTTCAGCTATGGGGAGACATCCTTTTTCCGTGAAAGAAGTTCTAGATAATTCAATTGGCTCCAACACCCCACTCTAGGATAGAAGTTGTTTTTATCATGCCTATACAAATATAATCATCTAACAACTTACCTTTTAAGTTCACTAGTACTAGCCAATAATATGAGATGTTTGTAGCTATTTCTGATTAGGATCCTCACTTAATTGCGTTTCATATTTTTATAACCAACTATTAAAAAAAATGTGTTTCATGTCACATGAATGTGGTTCATATATTACTTTTTCTTTTTATAGGAAAAGACTATGGAATCCTATATAACTCCATTCACAAGTTTAATTCCGCAAAAGAAAACTTTGAGAACATGGTAATGGAAAGGAAGGAGAGCTTCTGAAAAGATTAGTGCTTGATTTTAGTTTTAATTGTTGTTTAATTTACTTAGATTAATAAAATAGAAAGAAAATACTTTTCAGCCGCCGACATTACCTCGGACAATGTCCAGTGACCAGTCACTCTGTGGTCTACAGATTCGCCGACAGTGGCTGCATCTGTCGATGAACCCACTGAACTCTTTAGGTTCCGATGCAAGCAACAAACATTAGTCATAGAAGAAAATAAGAAAAGTTATTCTTAACTCCCATGTTTCTAAAAGGTAATATGTAAGCCTACCACTTCATGGAATATTTTGCTTTAGTTCTGTAATTGCAGAAAGTTATTTTTAAGTCCATTAGAATTTTTAAATAGAGAAACTATATGCTACCTTAGTCTCTAGAAAAATTTAGTCTAAACCCCTATGATCTGTCAGTTTTGCTTTTAATGCTGGAGTATTTTAATAGATAATCAAATTATCTGAAAAGTTAATGTGTGTATGCTAAATAATTTATGAGTAGGATTGAAAATTTTAAACAATTACATTTAATAGAGTTTCTATTCAACAATTACATTTTACTTAGTTTGCTATCTGCAAGTTAATGGTAATGGAGTTATATCTTTATTAGGACATACCACATACTTTTATGGTAATAGAACAAATATCTGGCAACTAAAGACTTCTCATATTGGAAGTTAGCTTTTTTAGTACAATAGCCTCTGGACTAGCCATGATTATATACGACTGTTGAATCTAAGATAAAAAATACCATGTCAAAGCTTAGAATGCAAGGGTAAGGAGCATTATTCTTTGAAACATCTGAGTAGTCTATATTAGTTATTTATGTGTTTGTAAACATGATCTATATATTTTTAGAATGAAGGCTCTTCCCTGACTTGCCACCTCAACAAATCATATGCTTTATGTTGTATGATCCCTCCTGCAGTTTAATCTATCCTTCATGCAGATACACGTCCTTAATTTGGAATTAACCAAGATCATAAAGTTGTGACTTTTACATTCTTTAATGCATATAGTTAAAAGAGTATGTACATCTTTCCTCAAAATATGTTAGTTCTCGTACTTGTGTTGTTTTAAAGCCTTTGAAATATCCTCATAATCAATACGTATTATATATAATTTTTTATAGCCTTTTGTTTTTCATAAAAGTTAAACTCAATATATCCCAGTAATACTTGAGATTTCCTTCCAGGCAACTGCGCAACTTGGAAAAAGCTTTTGGTGGTGATGTCCGGGTTTGTGATCGTACAGCTCTCATTCTGGATATCTTCAATCAAAGGGCTGCAACACATGAAGCGGCTTTACAGGTCTATACTAGATTTTTTTAAAATCATAGATTATTGTTGAAACAGGTATGAAAGCGCTTGTAAGCCTGATAAGAAATATATCTATAGAAAATATGAGATTTGTGCATCTGATACAGCCATACAGGTTACACAGTTTGATAGAAGGCATGTAGCGTTTGGATGGTGTTGCCGTTTTTGCCATTAAACTGAAATCTTGAGAGCCATTCTTTTTCTTGGTATGCAGTATTGGAATAAGTTTTTGAGAGTCTGGTCTTTCTTTCTCTTTTCCTTTTTTTTCGAATTTTGTAGTATTTAGTTTTGGACCTATCTAGGCAATCTGATCAAGTTCGAATTTTGTAGTATTTAGTTTTGGACCTATCTAGGCAATCTGATCAAGGACCGTATAGCATGATTTGAAGACCCAAGAACTAAAAGGAGCATGAAATACATCAGTTAGCTAATAGACAATGTTAGTATGTTGTATTGTGGATCCACTGCAGTGGTAGATATTCTACATTAGCTTCAAGCTTGGTGTGGGTACGAGCAAAAGATTGTCATTCTCATAAATTGTTCTGGAGCTTTATTGAAAAATATTGATAAGGAGTTTCACTACCATTCCATTTACCATCTCTCTTTTCTATCACACTTAAATGAATCTTGAAATTTATTTAATAGAACTAACAACATAATTTTTTTCATGAATAAAGAGCGCAATTTTATCAAGATATAAGTTTATCACGACACACTGAATATAAAGAGCTTAAATCATTATATGATCCTCACTCATGTTATGGGCAAGCGTAACACGTTAATCTTACAGTTGTATGTACACACAAATGAATATATTCTCAATTTCACACAAGCAGTACAAGTGAGAGGATGTTGTTATTTATCATCATAAAATGCAAACCTTGGATTTTCTGTCTCGCCCCTAAATTGATATGATTAATATATGTGTCCTGATTCCCTGATCATGATATTTAGAAGACCTAAAGCATGATATCATCCTTCTGCGACATTCTATTTGATGAAAATGATGTCATTCTTATTTATGCAATATACTCTTGTTGAGATACATTCAGTTGTGTTGGAATCAATGACGTGTTTGCCACTACTTGTTGTTGGGTTAGGTGGGTTCAAACTGGATCGGAAGCTGCTGATCCATCTATTTTGATTTATTAATTCATTCTCCACTGGCATCTCGTATATATCTCCTCGGGAATAGCTAATTTGCTTATCAGATGCCATCCTTCTTTTCGGATGATATTTTATCTTCAAGGTTGTCTGTTACACCCAACATTTTCGAAAAGGTCTTTGAGAAGAATACAATGTGCACTTCAAAGTACAGTTTTGGAATAATTAGTTGGAAGAGTGGAATTTGTTCTTTCTTCTTCCTTTATCACATAGTTCTTTAAGTCTGTTATCTCTTGACAGACCATTTAGTTTCATAGGTATGGTTGCATGTTTTAACGGACATTTCAATTTCCTCTGATACTTTATATGCTGGCTTTTTATTGTTTTGGTTCAGCATCTTATCTTTCTCACTCTCTTTTGTCCTTTGTATTGGTCAACTTTGGGTCATGAAGAACCTTGTCTCATAGTTGACCCCTTTCTACTAGTCAGTATTGTCCTCTTACACTTTCTTTTACATAATTTGGTTCATAGTGGTCCTTTTCACTCTAATACAAGAAAGAAGTCTTTATCAGATAACATTTCATTCGATAGTTCTTTAGATAATCATCTTTCGAAGTTAAAGTTTCTGTTGCCACTTTTGGGGGTGCATGCAGAATTATTTTTTTCCTGGTTATTTTTCTATTTATATCCATTTGTTTGCCAACTTGTAGTTTTTTATTTTTGGCAATGAATGCTGAAACTATTTTCATTTCTCTGTAGGTTGCTTTAGCGCAAATGGAATACCAGCTTCCACGATTGACAAAAATGTGGACTCATCTTGAACGTCAGGCTGGAGGCAGGGTTAAGGGTATGGGGGAGAAACAAATTGAAGTAGACAAGCGTATTCTACGCACTCAAGTAAGTCATACTGTACAGCTGAAAGTGTTTTGTATATCATTTATGCAGCCCAAGTTTGTCGCTTAATCGTATTTGACACATATTCATGTAAATGCAATTGCTTTGAGGTGTGGTTTTTATTAGTTTTTGAGGTTGATAAATAGATGTGGCATACATTCACCATTAGTCAGTATGTGCATTTCATCTGTTGTGTATGGCTCTAAGTTTGAGTTTCCAGATATCTTTATTAAGGAAATATGTTGATGTGCTATATAGCAATAGGCCATTGGTTTACTGTTAACAAATTTCCTTATGAAAAGTAATAATCAAGTAAATTCTCTTAAAACTTTATTAAGATAGAGTTTCGCCCAAGTTTTCCTATTTAAATTGAATTATATTCCATTTGTATTGCATATACCTGTTAATTATGAAATACACAAAAGAAACTACATTGGGTTAACAAATAGCTGAAACTGTAATTCTAGAGCCGGTGACCTTCTAATTGCTTTATTAGCTCATTTTTCTTGCTCATAGCTAAACGACATTTTGTTCCTGAGAATTTATATATATGCAGGTGATTCTAATAACTATCATGTAATATGAGTTACATTAAGTTTTGCACCAAACATTCTTGAAATATTTAACCACATATTGTTAGATGCTTCTTGGCAGATTGGTGTTTTAAGAAAGGAGCTAGAATCTGTTCGAAAGCATCGAAAGCAGTACCGGAACCGCAGATTATCTGTGCCTGTTCCTGTTGTATCTCTTGTAAGCATAAATATGGTCAACTGGGCTTTTGAAAGCTTATTCTTTATTGCATAAATATCCAATAATAACTAACAATTGAGTTTCAGGTTGGATACACAAATGCTGGTAAGAGTACACTGTTGAATCGCTTAACTGGAGCTGATGTTCTCGCAGAGAATCAATTATTTGCTACACTTGATCCAACTACCAGAAGGGTTCCAGTAAGACTATATAATTCTAATGAAATCATTCTTTTTAATATAAATACATTGTAGATAATTAGATATATTGAAGTAAGTTAGAATATTATGGATTTGGAAAGCGGTGAACAATTATTTATTCCATGCCTCATAGTGCTTTAATATTTGCTATTCAAATCATAAAATTTTCAATTATTATCGCGGAATAGAATTCAACATATTGTGAATATCACATTGAAATTACAAAAATTAGTTTAGAACAACCCATGCACTTCTGATACTCATATGTTTGAGAACTACACATTGCAATAGGACAACCTATGACAGGAAGTGTAAAGGAGCACAAAATCTGATTGTTGTCTCCATGAAACCCTTGGGCCTATATGATGACCCTCTAGGAGCATGTTTGGCAAACAGTCAAACTGGCTTATGAGATGATTTTGTGGCTTTTAAGCCACTTTGAGATGTTTGGTAAGTGGCTTATTTTGGCTAATAATATATCAGAAAATAAGCTAGGTTGCCCAAGCTTATTTTTGGTGGACTATAAGCCATGAGGTTTGACCAAGTAAAAGCCCCTTGTGATTTCACAAAAACCAAGGCTTCACTTAACAACTCACCACCAACCCTGTGTCCTTTTTGGTCATTTTGATGATAATGATGGACTGTAATCCACCTATTTGTCGAACACTCTACTATTGAAAGTAGATTATAATCCACTAAATTTGCCTAACACTCTAGATTATGATCCACTTAGGATTACAATCCATTTGTGGATTACAATCCAATGTTCCCAAACATGCTACTAGTTCTCAAGCTTATACAGAAATCCTCTTTCTGTATGCTAGCTTCTTTTTGGAGTAATCTAGTGTTTGTATTTGGTAGGACTATTTGGGATTCATGACTCCTTCATTGCTTGTGTGGATCCCTTTTTAGGATCTCATCTCGAAAATGTTTAATCCTTAGGTCAATGTTTTTTGTACAGATTCAAGAAAATTGTTATATGATTATTGTTACATAACACTGGACGCGACTACCAGTAATTAGTACTTAGCCTCACATTCTTTCTAGGGATTCAAGAAACCTTATGATATTAGCAATGGTTTTTGTATCACGGTTTTTGTTGAGACATGTCTTATTGTGATTGTGGTGCTTGATTGTTCCTTTTCGTTCTGTGATATCAGTGTGTTAGATATAACATGTTTCAGAAATGTCATTTGCAGATGAAAAATGGGAAAGAATTTCTTCTAACTGATACTGTCGGGTTCATTCAAAAACTGCCAACTCTACTGGTATGCATTTCTGGAACGAACAACCTCTTTAATAAAAAATGTTTTTTCCGTAGTTATTCCGTAGAAATTTTCATTATCGAAAGTGTTGATAATTATTGCTTTTTGTATGCACAGTGATACTGATGCATAAACTCTGTTAGGTTTTGTGGAGAAAATGGTAGCATGCCTGTGGATAAATTATAAAGAAAAATCTTTATAGTAAATGATGAGACTAATAGGGGGGGGGGGGGATTGTGAAATGTTTACATGGTGTTTAATTTGTGACAGGCTTACTAGCTGCTCAATCTTTGAATTTACGATAAGGGTATATGTGGGACAAGGATCCCAAACCCTAAGAAGAGATATACGATGGTCTGCTTTTTCTCACGTGTGTTCGCGCGCATATAGCAATCCTGTTGAAATTCTATTATCACTTCACTTCTTGGACATTACATTTTGTGGTAGAAGTTTGAGCATATTTCTTAACAAATGTAGTGATTGCACCATTGAGTTCTTCACATGTTATGTGGCAATATTTCTCTCTGCTTTCACATGGTTAAAGCATCAGGGGATACCTATCTTTTGTAAAATATTGATGGATTTTAGAACTGTTTCTGCAACTTTCCAGATACTTTATCTTCACAACGTATTTTACCCTTTTTATTATTAAAGCTATCTCTTGCTACAGGTTGCTGCATTCAGAGCAACACTTGAGGAGATATCTGAATCATCACTTTTGGTACATGTTGTAGATGTAAGGTAACATATGTGGCCAACTGGTTTGTGTGTTCGCAAATTTTATAATCTACATGTGTGCTTTGACAAGCCTCGATTTAATGATACTCTTGATGTGATGAAGCCCAGCCATCCACTAGCTCAGCAACAAAGAGATGCTGTTGACAAAGTTCTTCAAGAGTTGGATGTGGCATCAATTCCTAAGCTGGAAGTTTGGAACAAGGTAAGCTCTCTCTTTTTGTGATGTTTAAGAATGTTATTTGCATGTCATTTGGTATATCTCTATTTTCTACATTCTGAACCATTTTGTGTATACCAGCAAGGTACTATCTCATAGAATATCCATTTATATAGATGAAGTTTATGAAAACGTCTTATCATTTTAGTATTGTTGGTATTAAAATTTAAGTTATTGAGTCATTTATCCACATAACCACATTGTCAGCCACTTTTTCCAGAAGGTTAAATGTAGCTAATGCTGGGCCAAAAAATGTCTTATAGTGTAACATCTGTCATATATGAGGCATGTATATCGCTTTCAGATGACCTAAGTTGCAGAATAACCAGTTGATAGGTGACTTAGTTGACAGCTAGGTCACCGAGACACTTCATCTTGGCTCACGTATCCGTTTCCTTGTCGGGCACTCCTTGGACACTTCTTGAGTATATACATACATTTATGCAGACATGTGCCCAACTATACAATACATGTTTTAATTTAGAACACTCGTGGTACACTTCTTGGACATATATCTTATACTTCACATCACATTTCTACAGCTTATTGGACTCCGGTCAGAAACATTTCAGTATGATGTTACTATGTGTGTTCATAAGCATGATTTTAAACGATGATTTGGATATCTAGTCCATAAGTCAGCAGTTTTTCAATTTATAATCTCCTCGATAAAAGAAACATAAATAAGTTATATGGAGTTTAGTCCTCATAATATGTAATAAAAAAACAATATTGATCTCATATATATTATTAATATTTCAATAATTATATATATAGCCGTGTCCCCATATCCTACATTTTACAAATTTGTCATGCCCTACATCCGCACCCGTGTCCGTGTCCGTGTCCGCACCCGCACCCGTACCCGTGCAACAACATAGGTTGACAGACAAATGTGTTGTCTAAGTTTCTTTAGTGTATGCTTTCTTAATTTAACCATGACAGGGTGATTCACCCTCCACTTGGTTTTGTTTTGGTTAGTCTATCAAAGCAGCATTGAGACCAAATAATATGGACTTCTTCAAAAATACTTCTCTTCTTGCCATATAAATACTTATGTCTATAACAGAAAAGATCCTCAAAAAATAAAAATAAAAAAAATAAAAAATCCTTTTATATACTCTCGGGCTATTATACAAGTATGTATGTCTATGACAGACACGGTATATATTGTTCAAAGGACATGGGAAACCTAGAGCCTCTTTTCCCCCTTTTGTGGTCTTCCTTTTATGCTAATTTTTCGTCAAGTTTTAGTTTCTCGTTGAGGTGAGTCAGGTGACCAAATTGAATGGCTCATGTATTGAATGTCTTTATTTATATCTTAGGTCACCTGCATCTGATAATTTTCTGGTTTTCCTAGGTTGATAAAACTGATGACCCATGTAGAGTGAAAATGGAAGCTGAGAGAAAAGGGGCAATCTGCATATCAGCTATAAATGGTGATGGCTTAGAACATTTCTGTGATGCCATTCAAGCAAAGCTGCGGGTAACTACAGTTACCAAACTTATTTTGAAGCCTCCCTCGATTATATCAACTGTTTTCAAATTTGAAGTTTAGATCTCAGTTCCTGAATTAAATGGTAACGATTACGGCAGGACTCAATGGTGGCTGTGGAAGCTATTGTTCCGTATGACAAGGGGGAGCTCCTCAATACCATCCATGAAGTTGGAATAGTAGAAGGAACTGTAAGTCGATTTAAATTGCAGAAGAAATATAAAGTAGTTGAATTTTGCACAAAGAATTACCCTTTATGATGAACTTTATAATCTTATACAGACAATAGAGATGCTTGTACTCTGACAAATTATTGTGAATGTTGCAAAGGTAACTGACCAGTTTTGCTTCTATAGAAATGACTCACCTAGCCAGCGTAGTCCAGTAGCCACCAAGAGGATATTTGCTTTATTCTGTTAACTTCACAAAGTTGAAGCTCTTTTTTAGAAAATGATATCATACTCTCAAGTCTCAACTTTGAATTTTTGACAACAATGTAATTAGTTTTGCTTATTTTGCTTATTTCCTTGAAGGAATATATGGAGAACGGCACTTTAATCAGAGCTCATGTTCCCCTTCCCCTTGCCCGTTTACTAACACCGATGAGACGACAGGTGGCGGCGGCTCTGTAATTGTATGTATAAAATGTTGAAAAACTTCTTTTCCGTTGTTTGGGTTCGTATCCGTTGTATTATATCGACCTAACAGTCACAAATATTGTACAAACTCAGGCCAATATTTTAGAGGATTTTGAATGTTACTGGTTTTTAGGACTCAATGTATACATAAAATATACGTACACGTAATAATCGAATAAATTATGTGAAACACTTTGAATAGTTCAAATATGTTCCTGTAATGGAATTTGTCCGACAGGATATGAGTCCATCACCTCTTTAGTATGATGTACTTTTCACTGGCATCAGCTCATCTTGGCAGGCACTTTCAGTTTAATGTGCGAGTTCGCGAGGAGAAAATAAATGTGGAGATTTTCTAAATTCAATTTGTGGGGTTTTTTAAAGTAGATTGACTGTTGCTCTTTTCCTTTTGAGTATGCTCCATGGCGAGCAAACGGATTGAGGAAGTAATTAGCAAGATGTAAATTTTGACATTGGTTTTGAGAGGAAGAAGAGAGTAAAGTTTATATCACTTTAGATATCGTGAAGGAAGGCAGAGGACGTATATTTCTTTATTTAGTGAATTTAGTGAATTAAATATCCAAGCAGCGATGTTCATATGTGTTTTCGTCAAAAGTTGGTTTTGTCATGGAAATCATTATATCTTCGGTCGATTACAATAAATTCAAAAAAAGAGATAGCCTTTTTATAAAACTTTTTTTACACAACAAAATGAAAATTATAACTCTTGAGAAACAAACGCAGGATCGTTGTTTGGATCGCTGCTTGCGTGGGATCTTTGCCTGTGCCGGGGGTGCGTTAGCCCGTGGACCACCAAATCACAGATTCTGATTGAATCGTGAGGGGTTTATGATTCTTCCTTCGTTTATCGAAGTGAGAATTTGAAACGATATCTTATCAAAGTAAGATAGTCGTTCTTCTTAAGATTAAGTCAAAGCTTAAATCTCAAGGAATGGCCAGAAGCTCAAGAACTCTGCTCTCTCTGCTCTGAAGTGCTCCAAAATGATCAGCCCCTCCAACAAATGGCCTTCGGGGGGTATTTATAACCCCTAGGAACAGTTGGCGGAAAAAAAGCTCGCGAGACAGTGTTTACTGTCTCGGCGGGCGAGACAGTATTTGTTGTCTCGGCCCGCGAGATAGTAAACGACAGAGAATGCTGTCTCGCATGGCGAGACAGAGAACACTGTCTCGCCTGTGAGACAGTAACAACTATCTCGCCTGGCAAGACAGAGAACACTGTCTCGCGTGCGAGACAGTAAAGACTGTCTCGCGTGCGAGACAGCCCATACTTGTGTTCTTCTGCCTTTTTGAGCTGTATTCGGATATCTCTCAGCATTTTTTAACGCCTACAGATACCCCCTCCAAAGTATTCCAGACTCATTCTTTTATAGAGGAGTCTGAGATACTTTGGATAAGATAGATCTTATCTGCAATCCCTTCAATGCTTGATTTGAGTAGATCGTACAGAAGGATCCATAAATGGCTTCAACATTTGATCTCTTTGTCTCTCAGTCTATTCAGTGCTTTGTAGAATAGCTAAGGTCCTTTCGGTATGGCGTTCATCGCTTGACCGTCGTCTAGATCTTGAATTGAAGCTGGAATTTGTACTTGTGAATTCAGCTTTTGTCATCAAATTGATACCGCATTGTTAATCACTGTATCAGTCTTCATAGGAACACAGTTTATACTCATGTATGTATGTATATATATATATATATACTCAAATTAAAACTGCTGTCGAAGAATTTGAGAAATAGTTTATACTCATATACTATATTGGAGTGTTCGGGAAATAGTTTAACCTCATATACCCGTTGGGAGGTAGTCAGGTTATTCTTAAGAATATTTTGAGTGATATTCTCCAGAAACTTCCTGTTGAGATTAGGGAAATAGTTTAGACTCGTATACCTATTGGAGTATTCTGGTCTCTTGTTTGTTGGTAGAGATGAACCCGATGATGGAGAGGAAGAATTTTATATTCTATCTCCTGGTCTCTTGTTTGTTGGTAGAGATGAACCCGATGATGGAGAGGAAGAATTTTATATTCTATCTCCTGGTCTCTTGTTTGTTGGTAGAGATGAACCCGATGATGGAGAGGAAGAATTTTATATTCTATCTCCTGGTCTCTTGTTTGTTGGTAGAGATGAACCCGATAATGGAGAGGAAGAATTTTATATTCTGTCTCCTGGTCTCTTGTTTGTTGGTAGAGATGAACCCGATGATGGAGAGGAAGAATTTTATATTCTATCTCCTGGTCTCTTGTTTGTTGGTAGAGATAAACCCGGAATCGGAGAGGAAGAATTTTATATTCTATCTCCTGGTCTCTTGTTTGTTGGTAGAGATAAACCCGGAATCGGAGAGGAAGAATTTTATATTCTATCTCCTGGTCTCTTGTTTGTTGGTAGAGATGAACCCGATGATGGAGAGGAAGAATTTTATATTCTATCTCCTGGTCTCTTGTTTGTTGGTAGAGATGAACCCGAAATTGGAGAGGAAGAATTTTATATTCTATCTCCTGGTCTCTTGTTTGTTGGTAGAGATAAACCCGGAATCGGAGGGGAAGAATTTTATATTCTATCTCCTGGTACAAAGGAAATTTGAAGTGGGATTTCTATTCAGAGAATCTGAATAAGGTTTGATCAATTGAGATTGGAAGCAATCCTAACTTTTATAGGTTTGATTGCGCAAATCGAAGGTGGACTTCTTGTTCATGGAAGGAATCAAGAGAGGATTTTGGCTTTGGTCCTAACTGTTTAAAGGTTTGACCAAGATGGGAATTTGAGACGATCCTAACTGTTTAAAGGTTTGATCGTTCAATTTATGGACCTCTCGTTCATTGAAAGAATCGAGAGGGGATTTTGGTTTTGGTCCTAACTGTTTAAAGGTTTGACCAAATGAGGTTTTGTGAGGGAAGATTGATCTAAAGAAGTGATCGAATCTCATCTCAGCAAAAGAGTATTCAGAAATCACCATGGGGATATAGTGTTTATCACTTTGTTTGTAATGATCGGGTTATCCCTAAGAAAATTACATATAGCATTCTTCCGAGAACTTCCCGTTACATGAACTATCCACCCCCAGCTTCTTTCGCGAAACTGGGTCTAACATCATACTGAGTTACATGACCGGGTTATCCTTAAGAATATTACATGTAAAAATTCTCCAGGAACTTCCCGTCAAGAGTGAGAAATAGTTTAGACTCATATACCTATTGGAGTATCGAGGAGCAGTTTATACTCATATACTCTTTAGAGTGTTGAGAAGCAGTTTATACTCGTATACTTTTTGGAGTGTTGAGAAGCAGTTTATACTCGTATACTCTTTGGAGTTAAGGAGAACAGTTTATACTCGTGTATCCAATGGAGTTGTATGGTCGTCTTTACTCGACTTCTTTCGTCGTTATGACGCCGGAGTCAATTAGGGCTTGGATCTTGTTTTTGAGTCCAAAGCAAATCTCGGTGGGATGAAGAACCCTTCTGTGGTACGCACAGTAGTTTGGATCCGTAATCCTCTTAGCTCCATCCTGATCTTTAATAGGTGGTAGTTCGATTTTGTCATTAGCGAGGAGCTATTCCAATATGACTGGAGCTTCATCATCTTCGAAAGAATATTCCTTTTGAAACCTCGGATCGAGAGTCGCATTCTCAACGATTGCAGATGTCATTGGTTGGCCTCTCTCAGCTTTCTTTCTTTTAAGAAAGTGCTCAGCTTGTTCACCCCGAGATTTTAACTCCTTCCAAGTTGTGGATGGCACGACCCCCAGAGCTTCCAGGACATCGATGGAGAGGTTATTGTGGCATGTTTGCAGGATGAACTCCTCTGTAATAGGATCTCTGCAATTCATTGCTTTGTTATGGAAACGTTTGACAAAATTGTCAACTGACTCTCCGTCTTTTTGCTTCTCATCCAAAAGGGTTCCGATTGACACTTCAGTGTCATCATCGAAGAAATTACCGAGGAACAAACTTTCCATGTCATCCTAGCAATTGATGCTCCCTGGCTTGAGCCGTCGGTACCAATCGAAGGCGGGCCCACGAAGGGTGCCAACGAATGACCGAACCATTAAAGCCTCGTTTCCAGAAATCATGCCTAAATGAGACTTGAAATAAATCAAGTGTTGAATAGGCGAGCTCTTCCCCTCAAACGGTGTGAAGTTAACCAGATTGAATTTGGCCGGGTATGGTATTGAATCCCATTCTCTTGGATAGGGACACGGAATACCTGTCTTTTTCCCTTCTTGAGCCGTCATCAAAGCGTTGATTTTGTTTTCAAGCTCTTTCATTTTCTCGTCCTCGTCTATGTCTTCATTCGAAGGACATTGAGGAGAATGAGTTAGACCACCCCCTGTGAGAGGTGCTATTGAACCACCCCTAATATCGTTATTGGGAGGATCCGTTAAACCACCCCCAGCGTTATTGCTATTGGGAGGTGTATCAGCCATAATAACTTCATCCACTTCTGGATCACTGTTATTTGTAACATTCTGAATGTGGCGGCCGGATTCAACTCTCTGACTGGACTCAGGGGGTTGAGGTCGTTGAGCTAGCAATTCTCTCATTTGTTGATAGCTAACTCCATTTCTGTCTTCACTTCAGCTCTAATTTCTTCACGTTGTTTGGCTAGAGCTTCTTGAAGTATTTGAGCGAACTGATCAGAGGTGATTGTGAGTACTTCTCTGGTTTGTCCTATGCTAGATGATGTATCATCCGAAGCGATCGCAGAACAAGTGTCCGAGAGCTCATCCTCTGATGACATCCCTTCATGCATTCTCCCGATAGCTCCTAGCTGGAGTCGAGACTTCCGTCGGGCAATTCTTGAATTGACTTTTCCTCCCGGGGAAAAGTCGGGGCTTGATTCACTTGAAGGCCACTTAGATTTTCCTTTATCAGCCATGTTGATGGTGACTTCAGGGAATTCATCCCCTTGAATAGTGAGCTTCTTGTTGAAACGTCTCGGTTAGGGCTTTGACATTTCAGTAGAAAGTCTCTGGAACACAGAAACTTTCGGCGGAATGGCTTTAAAGCAGTTGTATTTAGGCAACACTGCTTTGATAAGTTTTTCACATACATAATGACGATTTGTTTCTTGAACAGTCCTTTTATGTGATTTGTTTTCACCTTTAGTTTGATAGTACAACTCGTCAGCATGGTGACCAGAGTAACATATCATCTGTTTTTGTGTTTGAACCTTGTTAACATACCCAGGATG